GCACCTTGGGTCGCTATGGAAACAGCCTCCTTGTATAATTACAAGGGTAAGGTCTGCGTACAACTGACCCCCCAGACCCCAACCCGTTGGGAATATACTGGGTATGTTGATTTGATGTTGATGTATTATTATTATTATTATTATTATTATTATTATTATTATTATTTTGTTTTTGGTGACGTAATTATGTTCACTGGTTCATGCAACTTTCTGGAATAAAGCAATTTGACAATATATTTATACATACATAGTATATATATAGCTTATAAATGGATTACTTAAAAACAGTACCAATTGGCCGTATAAGGAATAACATTTAGTAAGAAAAATACGAAGCCCCAGATGTTAAAGATAAATTCCGTTCATATGCTCTATAGTTAAATGTGGTGTCAAGCCAACACACACATATGCATACCTCATACTTGTTTAAATTTTTGGTAGAGATGTTAAACGGTCCTTGGCCCGACGGGCCGGCCCGTTTAGCCCGGAAAAAAACAGGGTTAGGGCTTTTTATTGGTAGCCCGTTTAAATCAGGGCTTTTTAGGCCCGGACCGTTTAAACCGAAGCCCGTTAGGGCTAGCCCGAAACCCGCTAGGGCTGGCCCGTTTAACTTGAGTTGGGCGTTGCAAATATTTGCAGCAAGTAAGTAATATACTCTTAGATTCATTGTATATTAAAATTTTGTTATTCCACTTCACATATAAGTATGAGCTGTAACGGATTATATTGATTTTGAAAGATAATTATTAACAATATTCTTATTGTACTCCACACCAAAATATTTAACTCAATCAGAACGACTAATAGGAAACAAATGAGACAAAGACCTAACACATGAAACATAGTGATAGAATTTATAGTGATATAATATCGTAAAAATTTCCAAAGCGTACAAAATATAAGTAGTGAAATGGTAATTGTAAGTAATAATTTGAATATTTTTTTATTTTGAAAAAAAAAATATTATTCAAGAGTTTGTAGTATGTGTTCATATATGATGTGTAGTTGTATATATAGAGCAGCAAATAATAAATACCGTTGAAAACAATCGTTAATTAGTCGTTGTAATTTTTTATAATTTTTTTCTTTTTATTTTTGATTTTTTTGATACATTATTATTAATACTATTATTAAAGCCCGTTTAGCCCGTTTAGCCCGAAGCCCGCTAGGGTTAGGGTTAGGTTCTTTTATTGGTAGCCCGTTTAAATCCGGGCTTTTTAGGCCCGGACCGTTTAGCCCGAAGCCCGCTAGGGCTAGCCCGTAACCGCTAGGGCTAGCCCGTTTAACATCTCTAATTTTTGGATTAGAAGATACATACATGTATGTGCCTGTGTCTATATGTTAATAGATTTTTCATCAAATTTAATGCAGGTTGTCGAGGTGGAGTGAAGAGGAGTAAATCCCCATCATATTGGGAAGATTTTCATTGGGGGTGTCTATATGTACACCCCCTCAAGTGTAAAAAAGGGGTGTACATATAGCACTTTTCTTTGTGTAATTTATTAAAAGGGGGTGTACATATAGCATTGCCCTTTTCATTCATTTTTGTTAGTTATCTCAGATAATGTACTTGCCAAGAAAATTCTGACATTTAATGAAAGCCCCTGATGGCTGATGTATTCATCACTTATACTGATGCTGTCATTTGAATTCTTTATCACATAGAGGGGCTCTACAAAAGCGCAGAATTTCTCGAATCTATCTGTTAAATTTCCTTGTGTGTCGACTCCTGAAATTACCTTTTTTTTTTTGGGGTCAAATTGTGGATTCTTGTTTTCCCGGATTTATAAAAATAAAATCTTAAAAATGTATGTGACCGATTCTCTGCTATCACTTACTTTTTTACATCAAAAAATTATATTTTGAAGAGGGTTTCAGTAGGGATTTTGGAAGTAGATGGCGATTGATAGAGGAATCTTTGATCATAATTTCCATTATTCGCGATTGATAGAGGAATCTTTGATCATAATTTCCACTATTCATACTACGTCCAACACGAACTGGAAAACAATGAAGGGAAAAAAAAACTGACGAGCAATCAGTTAATTATGTGTGATAAATTGATGAACAGTAAAAGATAAAATGATGACTTAATTTCAAAATAATCTTGTTTGTTAATCAATTCAAAACCAGTTAGCTTTAGTTAAATGATGAAAAATGAATACCCAGTAATAAAGGTCAATAATATTATGAAAAAAGTGATGAATATTTAGGAAAATGTTAAGGTCCGTTACGGAACCATTCCGTCGGGATATGTAACTGTATCATCATGTAACCGTCAGAGATATTTGATCTAACGGTTACAAACTCCGGCAGAATAGTTCCGTAACGGGACCGTAGCATTTTCTTAATATGTAATTGAGCATAATAAATTAACAATCAACTAACAACCTTTAATAAACATGTACAGTAGAGTACCATGAACCCTGCAAGAAGGTCCACGGTACACAAGATTACTAAGGGTGTGATTGTTTATGGATTCAACTAGTTTTTATTTGGTTTGTTTTTTAACAATAGTTAATTTTGAAAAAAAAGTAGTATGGTTAATTGTTAGTGGATATATTAAAATAATATTTAAATAAAATAATTAAAATTGATTTGATGTAAAGTAGAATAAAAATGATTGGAAGTGATGGTTAGTTAAAATTATGTGAGTGGATGAATAATGAATTAAAGTTAATGTGATGTGTAAGAATGATTATTTGATGTTATATTATTATATTAATAATATTGGAGATAGTGAAATTAAGTTAAAGTTGAGTTAAATTTGAGTTTTGATTAATTTTTTTACTATTGAAATCATATCCAATCGCCCCTAAATCAATTCTACAGGCCCATGATATAAACCCCTACTGAGCCTACTTAAACCAAATCCCAACTTATGGCCCAACGAAAGGAAGTTGAACAACTGAACCAGCTTTAAGCCCAGTATAAATAATCGCTAGGGTTTTGCTCCCATTTCTCATCTTCTTGCTGTACCCAGAAGCACACACAGCACACAGTGAGAGCTGCTCTGCTCCAATGGCGCCGAAGCGAACAACCCGCAACCCGGAGCTCATTCCCGGAGTCCGTAAGGTCTCCCGCTCGAGGATGTACCACAAGCGCGGTCTCTTTGCGATCAAGGCCAAAAACGGCGGCAAATTCCCCCACCACGAGAAGGCCTCCGCTGCCGCTCCTGTGGCGGAGAAGCCCCCCAAGTTCTATCCGGCGGACGACGTCAAGAAGCCGCTTCTCAACAAGCGGAAGCCTAAACCGACCAAGCTCAGGTGTGCATTTCGATATCCTTTGATCTCTGTTGATTGATTTGTTTTTATGGCGTGCTGTTTAATGCTGATTTATGATTGAATTATTTGGTTTGTGTGTGGTTTTTTGCAGGGCTAGCATTACACCGGGGACGGTGTTGATCATTTTGACCGGGAGGTTCAGGGGGAAGAGAGTTGTCTTCTTGAAGCAGCTCACTTCTGGATTGCTCCTAGTTACTGGTAATTGTCCATTATTTTGTGTTGGTTGGTTGTTGAGTAATTATCACTTTATATTGTTCGCGTCTGTCTGAAGCTCGTACTGTAATGTTTTGATAATTTTTGTGGCATTGTCTCGATGTTTGTGATTTAAGGAGGTAATGTTTGAGAACTTATGGTGATATAGTGTCCATTGTTGCTATGCTGACTTCAGAGAGTTGCACTTTCTGTAATGTATTAACTATTGAGTTGCTCCTATCAAATTTTGAACTTGATTCTTTTTCAAAAGTTGAATCTTGATTAATGATCTAGCAATTTCATTTGTACACCTATGAAATTTATCGTCTTTAGTCTGTTTACATGGTCAGCCTTCTTCACTTCAATGTTAGTTTTATTAAAATGTGTCTGGTGGCTTGTGATTTACTGTAATGGAAAAACTTTGAGTTGTTAAATAATGCTCAAATGATAGTATAATTTGAACTTTTGAACACTGTAACAGCCAATTTAAATGGCTTATGGTGTGATTCACTATATTGATTATCTATTTGCTTTATTGACGATCCAATGTTTTGGGGCGAGAAATTAATTCTCGTATGAACCAAGTTATTATCAATCGTCAAACATAGAGTTCCCTCTGTTGATGATGTGGTTAAGTTTGTCTTGAACAGCTTCCACTTCTCCGGAGGGTGTGTTCTCATATCCTATCGCCTTGTGGAGCAGGATTCTGCTATAACCTCTTGGGACTAGCCATGAGAACTACATATGTTGATAGATAATACTACCTCCTATTCTTTTTAAATGTCATTTTGGCATTATCAACTATTAACAAAATAAATGTCATTTTGGATATTTTGTACATATTTTTTCATTATTACCCTCATCTAACTAATAAATACACTACGTCATTTCATATTCACTATTCATATTTTTTCAAAACATTCATCTTTATCCTCATTAATGAGGGTTATTATTGGCCAAAAAAATATTCTTAATAACTGTGCAACTTCTCAAAACGACACTTATTATGAATAGGAGGGAGTATTTGTCATTAATTAATTCCACTCTTAATTTTCTGTTCTAAATTTGTCCACTAAAGATTTTAGTTAATATTGAATTTTACCACTAAATTTAAATGGTCCCATAACAGGTCCTTACAAGATCAACGGTGTTCCTCTGAGGCGTGTGAACCAGGCCTATGTTATTGGTACCTCCACAAAGGT